ATCATACACGTATATTCTGTCATTACTCTAATGACCATCCCTTATCTACCATCATACACTTATATTCTGTCATTACTCTAATGACCATCCCTTATCTATCATCATACATATTCTGTCATTACTCTAATGACCATCCCTTATCTACCATCATACACTTATATTCTGTCATTACTCTAATGACCATCCCTTATCTATCATCATACATATTCTGTCATTACTCTAATGACCATCCCTTATCTACCATCATACACTTATATTCTGTCATTACTCTAATGACCATCCCTTATCTATCATCATACATATTCTGTCATTACTCTAATGACCATCCCTTATCTACCATCATACACATATATTCTGTCATTACTCTAATGATCATCCCTTATCTACCATCGTACACTTATATTTTGTCATTACTCTAATGGCCATCCCTTATCTATCATCGTTCACTTATATTCTGTCATTACTCTAATGGCCATCCCTTATCTACCATCATACACTTATATTCTGTCATTACTCTAATGGTCATCCCTTATCTACCATCGTACACTTATATTCTGTCATTACTCTAATGGTCATCCCTTATCTACCATCATACACTTATGTTCTGTCATTACTCTAATGGCCATCCCTTATCTATCATCGTTCACTTATATTCTATCATGACTCTAATAATTGTCCCGCAGTGGCACAGAGGTATGTCTGCGGACTTACAGTGCTTGAAGCCGGGTTTCGATACCCGTGCTAGATAGCCCAGACTCAATTAATCTTCCACGCACCTATGTTATAAATTCACAAGACAAATAACACGTGACTAGTATGAAACCTCAAGTACTGTAGTTAAAATGTGTAACTTGACATGTCCTGGTGTTGTAACCAGTCAATACCTCTACTGTGAATGATGATATTGGAAAAACTATAACTTACTGTTTATAAGCAATCCTTTGACATTATAGTTGTTTTTATGTTTATTTTCTCTCAATTATAATTATAATAACTATTATTTAAAATTCATCGTAGCACTTGAAAAAGCTTCTGTCATTAAACAACGTAATAAAACTAGTTACGTTAAATGTCGATAGAGGAAAGCACTTACTTGTCGACCATAATACCCACTCGAATTGCTTTAGCTACGGATCTGAAACGAGGCCTGTTATCTTCTCCTCTTCGCTGTTTCGCCGCTTGTTGTGTGAAGGTCGTTGCCAACCAATCACGTACTTCACCTGGTACAGCATCAGGCTGGACTTTTGATAAATCATAATCTTCATCCGTGTGACGTCTGTTGACAGGTAGAAATAAACATATCTACAATATTTCATATCATTGTCTCAGAGAAATATACCCGTAGGGTCCCAGAAAGTGTTCTGTTTCAAGAATAAATAAAACCAAAATTAAGAGTAATAAAAATTTCGGTTTCTTGCTTTTGAAGTTCGTATGTCATGCTGTGTTGTAGCCTACAGAGTGTTTCTTCTCTTCATTCATGACACGTTATACTGACGTCACAACAGTACAAATTGCAACGTTAAGCGTCCCTTATGTAATTTCATTTTAGTGTCTATTGACTGACTGACTGACAGACAGACAACACATTACTGTATAGTGGTGCGAGTGGTTAAAACAGGTGACTCCTCCTGGCGGCCTTATGCCCCTTTTCGGGGAAATTGTTGATTCAGACAAAATGATTCTATATTATTGATAAAAATACCCATAATACTTTAATTCTTCATTCAAATAAAACATCCAAAATATTATATATTCTTCGTTCAATTGTTTGAATAGATACTATGAAAACAATGATCTGTGCTATTTTACAAATCAGAAACATTACGTTCGAGGCTTTCTTTTAAATCTTTAGAATAACGGAAAACAAGAAAAGAGACAGAAAGTTATGTATGTTTGTTGAATATCGATGGTTAGCCAAAAACAGAATCACGCTCCGCACTTTGCGGCTATAGGTGTGTTATAAGAGTGACGGTTAAATCTCATTGTTCGATTAGAGTCGCCTACGATATGGTGATGGGTGTTCTTGATTAGCTGCTTTCTCTCTGGTCTATCAGTTCAAAATTAGAAACAGCTAGCGCAGATAAGCCCTTGAGTAGCCTTGCTCGAATATCCGAAAATAACCAAACAAAAATTAATATATTTATTTCTCAGTTGTGCATGTATTAATGCAATAAAAATGATCAAAGAAATGCATGTAATTTAACTGTAGTTTTACTGCAAATAGCGGGAAAGTGTTGAAACAATGGCCACGTGATAGACACCCATCCGTTCCGAATTTAAAAGTAAACATTGTTATAAAGGACTTGTAGAATGCCTTGGAAACTGGTTCAGTGGCTGAAGAGGTATGTGAAATATTCATATAGTGATACTTGTAAACAAAACCAAGAAACGTAACATTTCGAAAAATGCAGTTTTAAGTATTATCTATGGAAGCGGGAAAAGTTGCACAGCCGAGACTTTAAGACAGCGGGAAACCAAACCAATCACGATCAACGTTCTCATTAGCAAAGGGAAGACTGTGGTTACCTCCTAATACAAAAAGCAATATTGCTTTGAACCTGAGCATATCTCCTGGTACTCTTAACAAGATAACAAACAAATGTTTGAACCTCACAAGCTTAACCTTACCTTAAAATTAACGGTTATTTTCTTAAAAAGATACTGGAATAACTTGGAATCACATAACTGTCAAGTCCCTACATACAGCTTAAATATACTTACATATATTTGTTTTTTTTCAAAAGAATACTTAGAGATCGTAGAGATAACATGCTAACCAGCTTACGGAAAGCTGAACAGGAGGAATGGGCCAGCACTGGCAAGGCTGTTCTCAATCATAGGGTTAGTAAACTTTAATTCAATAGATCGTTTTATTTACGTTTTGCCATCCTTTGTCAATCTCCATGTTTACACATTTATCTTTAATGCACATATACACTTAATTTAAGTATTTAGTAGTCTATTTCAGCTGTTTTCTGGTTTCATGGCCTAAATGGTCTGACAGTATAAATTTTACTTTATCTTTTGGTATCTGTTTACCAGTGTCTCATCAAAGTGCAACACGCCCACAAAATCCACATTAACAGCACAACGACCAAAAACCAGAGTATCTCTACGTTTCTATGGAAACCAGCAATTGCCTTTGGAAGTCAATACGTTCATTCATTGTTTAGATAGCTAACGGTACAAAGACTCTTGGAAGATAGTACTTACATTAAGTCAACTCTATTAGATAGAAGTTCTTATCCTAAAATATCCCAAAGTACTTAGAATTTCAATCGCAACGATAACCATATAAAAAGACGTAAACTTCAGTAATCTCTGATTTTGTTTTTCACTCTGACCACAAGCTCTTATTTATGAGCAGACTGTGTTATTCATAACTGATATATTTCTGTTGGACCAAGATTTTACTTTCACAATCATCAACCTTTATGCATTCGAAAGGTATTTGTTCGGTCTCAGAAATAAATATTTTTACAAGTGGTCCTGTGATTTTAAGAATATATTTATACAGCATAAACCGTGTTATGAATACATATGGTTTCTTATAGTTTTCACAATCAAACCAACTAATAGACGCTAAACAAACACGATTTGAGATTTTCAAACACTCCTTTACAATTTTATATAATTCATTAATTTCTTAAGTAATATTGTGTTTTTAGTTGAGTACTAAGGTGACATGGGATTAACTGACAGGCCTTGACTTCTCCTGATGTGGAGACTGGCTGCCTCGCAGAAAGCAGAAGAGACTTCCATTCCTGATGACATCAGAGGCCATCTAGCTGTATATTGTCCTATAATTCCTTATATTATGACACCAGGGGCCATCTAGCTGTATATTGTCCTATAACTCCTTATATCATGACACCAGGGGCCATCTAGTTGTATATTGTCCTATAATTCCTTATATCATGACACCAGGGGCCATCTAGCTGTATATTGTCCTATAATTCCTTATCTCATGACACCAAGGGCCATCTAGCTGTATATTGTCCAATAATTCCTTATATCATGACACCAGGGGCCATCTAGCTGTATATTGTCCTATAATTCCTTATATTATGACACCAGGGGCCATCTAGCTGTATATTGTCCGATAATTCCTAATATCACAATTTTCCTAGCTATATCATAAGGTATTTTGTTTTCCAGCAGTCTCAGTTCCTCTGAATGATCATGATTATTGTTTTCGCTTTGCTAGTGTGGATGAGGTCGATATACTATCGATAGAGTTGTCACAAGGTGACTGCCTTTAACTTTACTCCTGCATGGCCTGGAACATACGTCCAAGTGATGGCCTATACATGTACGCTGGAGCAGGTCTGTCAGACCGAGCAGTAGCCGGACCAACATTTTGTCCCAGTAACTATAGGGCTTTTTAAACTTTAACTTGCACTTCAAAAATTGTTTATAGTTAAATATACAGACTTGTAGTATTTTGTATGAATCAGTATAACAATGCAAAATAAATCACATGTGTAATCTACAAGTGTATATGCTTGTGCTTGCTTATATCTATGGTGAGTATAAGTGCCAGTGAGCACCTATTTTTGTGAATCACAAAGAAATGCTTGCAAATGACTAATACTTTCAATAAATTATTGTAATATTTGCACAAAGGTCAATCTCATAGCACCTATTTTTCAAAATTTTCTGGAGGGTATGTCCCGAGACACCATTAATACTGGCATGCTTTGCACATTATTCTTCCTCCTCTCCTGCTATATCTTCACTCCTGCATGACCTGGCACATATGTTCAGGTGATAGCCTTTAGCTTTACTCCTGCATGACCTAGCACATATGTTCAGGTGATGGCCTTTAGCTTTACTCCTGCGTGACCTGGCACATATGTCCAGGTGATGGACTTTAGCTTCACTCCTGCATGATCTGGCTCATATGTTCAGGTGATGGTCTTTAGCTTTACTCCTGCATGACCTGGCACATATGTTCAGATGATGGACTTTAGCTTTAATCCTGCATGATTTTGCACATACATCCAGGTGATGGACTTTAGCTTTACTCCTGCATGGCCTATAACATACGTCCAGGTGATGGCCTTACAATGAAGTTACTTTGCTTTCTGCCATCCATTTGGGGACCAACCACTCTGAATTTTATGGAGTACTGCTTGCGAGTTAGCTGCAAATGTTATGTTGGTGGAATTGCCTATTTGAAACAGAAATCAATTACTTCAGAAAAAGCTAATTCAAAAATAATTGTCCTAATTGTTTTGTAATCTGAATTTTCCAGAAAATCTTCCCACGCCTATAAATACAACGAAAACATTACCTAAACATCACCTAACTTCAACGGTGGAAAATCTAGCGTGTGTGGCCAAGGACAAAGCTAGCTAGCTTCCTGGCGAATCCTACTTACATCAACTCGTAATTAACTCGCTCATCGTAAACCCTCGATAAGATATCATGGAAGTTTCAAACTAGAAAGATTTTATATTGTTTGTGAGTTTGTGAAACTTTTGTTTATAAATCTTTGTTTGTAATAACTATTTGTAATGGTTGTTATTGTAAATTGTACTGTTGTGTGTATATTAAAACGTATTTGTGTTAAAAACGAAGACGGTGTGTATCACTCTTGTTGGCAAATATCGTAAATTGACGAATATATCGACATATATTTAAATACTAGATCCAAAGTACAATTTAATTACTAAATTTAAATTATCAGTTAACTCGGCTTCGGAATATTCGAAATTCTAATATGTAACACTATTAAAAAATAACTCTTAAATCGATTATTAATTGTATTTGTTTCTTCGGCCTCAAGTTTCTTTAGTAGTGCCATCTATTGGCAAATATATACAGAAAATTGAAATAGTCGATTTAAGCTTCTGTAGAGGGGTCATCTATTGGCAGATATACACTATCCTACCAAAAGTCATGAGACACACCTCTGATTGCAGGAAATGGATGGAATGACGAAATATACAAATAGTTTGGCCTATAAAGGTGATCAGCAGTTCGCTAGGAAGTCATTTCGAACTTGTACGCTGAACGATAAGTATTCGGAAAGAACTAACAGAGTTACAGAGGGAGAAGGATAGTTGGATGTCATTTGGAGAAAGTGTCTGTAACAATTAAACATTTCCAGGTCAACAACTGGCAACGTGCTGAAGAAATGGAAGTCCACAGGTGACAATGAGCCAAAGAAACGACCAGTTAGGCATAAAATACTGACTGACAGGAGCCGACGCACTTTAAGAAGGCTGATTACCTCATATCACCATCAGACTCTAAAATCTGTGTTTGGAG